CATACATAAAACAACTTATTGGACAAGTTTTGCTTTTAAAAAATGTTTGTCAAATAAAGTTAGTCTGAATGGAGGCCAAAAGACAGAGAACATTGGGTTAAGATATATATACATGACAATCCAAAAAAAAAAAAAAAAGAGTTAAAAGTATTCTCCATTTAGGAGAATTTGCTCTGAGCTAATCAGGTACATTGGCAGATGTTGAGACTAATTGCTCAGTTACAAACATTATAGTCTACAAAGAGTCAGTTAAAAATGTCAGAATTTCACATTATTAACCATCAATGCAATTTCTAAAAGAAGATTACAGGCAATTTTATTGAAAATCTGAAAATAATAAGACCCTACTAGAAAAAAACACATTCTTTAGAAAAATACAAATGACTTTATTAGAGACATAAGAGATTATGCAAATATGTACCAAGAGTAATTGTTATGCTTATTATTTTTAAAGTTCAGGTTTTTAAAATTTTGCTTTTTAATGTACAAATGCACATGCTCATACATATGTTTTTATTATTTTGGAGAAAATTCCATTTTTGAAGTTAGCTTTTGAACAGCACAACTTATTGGCCCACCAATATAATAAAAGCCATTTTTTGGTCAATAAACATTTCAAAAATCACAGTTTTAATGATTTTAGTACCCCCTTTCATTCTACAAAGCATTCCAGTTTCGATGATAAATTATATACCTGAATGCTCTTAAATGAAAAAATGGCCTAATCCAATTTTGCCTTAGTCTCATCCTTTTAAAACCCATTAAGTATTTGGTGTTTTTGCCAATTCTCTTCAGGGAACGAAACTCAGATGCTAATTGAGGCAGGCATTGTGCCAGGTGCTGTATATAGACATGAACTTAGGAACCCCAGTATGAAATAAGTACCATTTAGAAAGTGAAGGTTCCTGTGGCCAGGATTCTTACCTGGTCCTGGTTGACTAGCTCACTACACACGTGTGGAAAATACATTGCTATTGACTCTATATAAAACAGCTCCGCCCAATGCTCTGGGTGACATGGTGGCATGGCCGCACAGCTGCAAGAGAGCAGAAACTGGAGTGGTGGCAGCACTGAGGACAGAAACTGAGACGCATGTGGGGGCAGAGGGGCCCAGAGGCATAGCAGCGGACTTGCTCTAGGGTGGGATTCTAGTGACTGACCTGGCACTATGGGAATAAAGTTGGGTATAAACCCTTTCACCCCAAAAACATTCTATTGTCATTCTTTGGTCTCATTAAATCCATAGTGAACTTCGGGGCTGACACCCATTGACAAGTCATACCAATAGCTCCATTTTAAGGGAATGGAATGGCTTTAGAGCCATAAATTAGTGGCCAGAGACCATGTCTTGCCAATGAGTTCCAGCCCCGGGCAAGTTCACTATGAATCAATGTGACCAAAGGAATGACAGTGGAATGTTCTTGGGGCAAAAGGGTTTTTATCTAGCTTGTTCTCCCAGCAGTAGGTTGAGCACTAGCATCTCTGCCTCCATGCCTCTGCCCACACAGCCGTCCTCTGGGCCTCTGTCCTCGGCACTGCCACCACTCCAGGCTCTGCTCTGCTTTCCTGCAGACTTGCAGCCCTGCCAGTGTCGCCAAGGGCTCTTTATATAGAGTCAATAATGACGCATTGCCCACATGTGTGTAGTGAGCTAGCCAACCAGGGCCAGGTAAGAATCCTGGCCACAGGAACCTTCATTTTATCCACAGACCATAAAGTAGCTGACAGCAGAGGTGGAAGTGACCTGCACAGACCACCAGATTTCTCTCCTCCTCCCTCATGTGTCCAGAGCACGAGCCACTCCACACTGACCCCCACAACCACATCTGTCTCCCTCAGTGGCTCCTTTCATTTTCCTTCCTCGTCGGCTTCTGCCATTCTCTTTTATAGCTTCAAATTTCACCTGTTCAAATGTCTTCATATAATGAATAGCCCTGAATTACTGATGAAAACGTAGCTCTCATCAAAAACTTGAAATTCCTCTTATCCAGTTGAGGCAAAATTAAGCACACTTGACCACGGGTCATAAAGGGCAGGCTCATCTATTAGCGTGAATGTGTACATAGGAAACCTTTTTCATTCCCCCCTACCCCTTAACTGGGACAGATGCCGCTTATTCTCAGGTTCCATGGGCTCATGAGTGGATGTGTGATAGGAATATAGCAGATGGGGTGGAATGAGGTCTTTTGGTTCTCCTCGTGGCATGCCAGCCTGTAGCTGGGTTCCCACAAGTAGTCTTTTGAGAAAAGTGGAGTGCAGGGTGAAGTCAGCAGTGGCAGGGTGATCAGAAGACACCAACACAATGGCCTCATCTGGATGGCTTGACTCAAGTGTTTGCTGCCCAACATTTGTGATGTTCAGAAATCTGCAGCTTCTCTCCTCTCCCAGACTGCATATAGGAACACCTGTGGGTCAGCTGCACAAAGGCTGCTTACTGAACAGCCAATGTAATGAATTTGCTTTAAAAAGTTTTTTTTTAATGATGCAGTTGCAATTAGCATTTCTTCCAAGCTTTTACAAAATTACTGAAGCTTAACATTTAATATCTGATTAGCTCCAGGTGTACATCACGGTGATTCTACATTTATATGCATTATGAAATGCTCACCACACTAAGTAGTTACCATATGTTACCAAAGTTACTATATTATTACTGATTATATTTCTTATGCTGTACTTTTCATCCCCATGACTTAGTTTTTAGCTGGAAGTTTTACCTCTTGACCTTCTTCACATAGCCGGCTGGTCTCCCAATTCCTCCCACTCTGGTAACCAGCTAATTCACTTTAGTTTATGTTTTAATCTTATAACACCTTATAAATATATTAAAATTTTCTCTCCCAGATTTCTTGCTGTTCTAGTTATAAATCAAAAGGACAGCTGAAGAGGAAATGGAAGAGGTACAACATAGCCATGATCACAGAGCGTGATCTTTAAAGTATGTGGGAGTATGAAGTAAGTCTCATAAGTTTTTTGAGTATCTATCTTTTTCTGTCAACCAAACTCAAGTTACATGAGTAAATCTGGCTTTCCATGAATTTCTCTGCTGCTTCTGGGTCGAGAACATTTCCAGATTGGTCAGTTCTTAAATCCTATGACTTTCTTCCTCTGAAATTTGTTTGCTCAAGAAAAGTCCCTTGTCATTCTACATGTTTGCTCACGGAGATCAATGGATTGTTTCTGTCTCCATTTTAAACATATTTACCCGACACTTTCACAGGTCCTTGACCATCATCATGTTTATCCAGCACAAATCTTCGGACACGCTGGGTTGGGTCACTTGAAGGCAAGAGCACCAGGATCACTTGTTGATTCATTAACACTTTCCTGTCCATGTGCAAATCTAAGACACCTCATGGTTTCAATTACTAGTCACTGCAATCCCACCCAGAACATGCACATACATAAACAAGTAGAGAAGCACAGGTAGAGAAGCCTAATTAAATGGTGACCACCTCCAGAGATGCTTTTTGGGTTTAAGGTTCTTAGTTTGAGCACTATTGATGATTTAGGCTGGAAAATCCTTTGATGGGGACAGGGAGTAAGGGGAGCTGTTCTGTGATGGCAGGATGTTAGCAGCATCTCAGCGTACCACCCGGCAGACACCAGGGGCGCCCTTCCCCAGCTGTCATGACCAACAATGTCTCTGACGCTGCCCAGTGTCCTGAGAGACAAAATTGTCCCCGTGTAAAAACAATGAAGTTGACTTTCATACAAGCCTTCCACAGGGATTCAAAACCCCAGCACATCATAAAACATAATTTTACTTAACTAACATCACACAAAGACGACTGTGAGCCCAAAGGATTCAGTGATGCTGGGATATAGGAGACAGCTGTGTAGAACTCTTTGTGGCAGGGACCTGACTTGGGCCTATCTTCATTACCTAAGTGGTTCTGTCTCCAGCTGGACACTCACGTAACAGCCTGTTTTAGATTGCAGACATCTGCTATGGCAAAACATCCAACATACAAAGTTCCACAACTACACAATAGTTGCCAGTTTGGTTGCTGAGTTCCCGGTACTGTTAAGCAATCAACTGATTGTGTTTTATGTTACTTTTCAATAAAAAAAAGCCTGACGTTTTAAAGCAAATTACACAAGCATCACGTAGCACACGACAAGAAAAACATCGGCACAAAGCACATGGTGTGGGCTGCAGCGTAGATCACGCAGGCCTAGCAGCTCCAGAAAAAGGTTTGCAACCTTTTGTTCACTGTGAGGAGGCTTTAAAGATTAGTTACAAGAATGTAATTTCATCTTTCATCACAATGTTGCTAGAACTTTTAACTACCCTTTAAATGCTTTATATGCTATCTTCTAAATACCATAGGGGAGTTAGTGTTAATGTAACTAATTTTCTAAGACTTTTTAAAACATACTTGATAGAGCACCACTTACAGAGGAGATGCTTAAGCTGGTGGGAATCTCTCTTCACCATCCTGTTATATATGTAGGAGGGGAAAAAAGCACAAACCAAATTGTTCCAACACACCACGTAACTGAGGTGGCGCCTATGCTAATAAAGCCTTTAGCTTCAGGTTTAGATCAACCAGGCTGGGATCTCCCCTGAACAGCTAATCCAAATTCCCGAGGGGTATCAGATGAACTTCTGTGGCACAATCCTGGCACTGGCCGACATGCAGCACTCCTTTCTGAGCCTCAGGCCTGCTCCCTGCCCTTTGACTCCTGACCCCAGTCTTCGCATGGTAATTTAAGAGGACAGGGGTGATCAGCATATAGGATATACATGTCCCAATTTTTTAGCCGATAATACATGTATATATGTATGCACATGTGTACACACATGCACACACTCTCATACATACACACACACACACACACGCACATTCCCACGCAGAAGGCCAAGGGCTCAGTCAGCTTATGTTCCCAAATCACAGGAAAGCTAAAGATGTCTGAGGTTTAGGAATGAGGTAACAAGTAGTTTTTCATTACAAGAGACTTTTTTTAAGTACCACCAACCCAAAAAACAAAAACTCTTTAAAAATTGGTATGGCTCTTTTATAAAACATGAAGTGAGGAACGTGTACAAAAAAATCAGAAATTCAACTATAGTACAAGCCAATTAACATAAAGGAAAAAGGAGTCTGTTTCCTTTTTGGCTTTACACAATTTAATTTTCTTATTTTACACTTTTTAAATTCACTTTGGATGTAGCCCATCCTTGGGTTTCACACACTGACCAAACTGTTCTGCTAGAGATAGCCAAGTACAATTTACCCATCTTTGTTTAAGAAATATAAGGAGGTGTTTTTATTTTTTCATTTTATACAACATAATTATCTCTGTCATAAGTTTATTTAGATCACTTTGGACCCAGCATGTCCTTAGGTTTTACCCACTCCTCAAACTGCTCTGCAGTGAGATAGCCAAGCTCCACAGCAGTGGCCTTTAGGGTTGACCCGTTTTTGTGTGCTGTTTTAGCAATCTTTGCTGCCTTGTCGTACCCTGAGGAGAAGAAGACAAAGAGTTAGCAGGGAAATGTGGTTTTAGTCATTAGTATTTACTTGGTACTGCTGCTAGGGATCCCTTAAGTAACACTTTTTAACCTTAAAAACATTTAACAGTGATTATGTTGATAGTTGCCATTTCTTACCTAAAATAAAACCTTTACTTTTCTTTAGTACAGTCTTAAACATACCTCACTTTCTACAACAGATTTGTTCCTAAATTGAAACTGTACCAAACTCAGGTATTTTCACAGGGAAGAGAAAAACCATATAGCACCCAGACATGAAAATGGAATCTGAGTGGTACAGATAGATGTCCTCTCAAACTACGCGTTTGACCAGAATTCCCTTCTCACGAAGCCCTAACAAATTAAATGCTGCAGGGCTGCAGGAAGCAGCACCATGTGCCCGGGTGCTGGGCAGCTGGCTGGAGGTGCCAGGAGGGTCCGCTCACAGCTGGGGAGGACAGACACACCCTAGAGCTGCTCCCAACAGCTCGCTCTCGCTGGCACTCCAGGCCCTGACTTCTTTGCAAACACTGCAAAGACACAGGTGGGGAAGCGCTGACATGAATAGGTACCAGTGACCACAGAGGTACTGTTTACTTCAGTATTTGTCTTCAGAATCCATAAAGGCAGGGCAGGGCACTTCCGCAAGTTCTCTTCACTTAATGTAATTTTAAAAAGTCAGAAGCCAAGAGCAACAAAGATAGAAAAAACAAAAACCAACCCTATGAAGGAGAGAAAAAACCCAAAGACCAGAGAGCTAGGGTCACAGGGAAAAAGCCTGCTGAGGAAGTATGCTCGGCAACCAGGCAAGATGTCACGTGTCAGTATGCAATTAGGCATCTATAAATCAATTATGGGCACAGCTCATTTTACTACTTCACTGAATTTGGGAATGCTAGACATGCTGAAAAGGGCATTTACTGACCCAGGTAACTTTGAGGAAGCATTTATACTTTAGGGGTAAATATTAGATACCCTGTACTTTCATGTTAATAATGACATTAAAGTCAAATAAGCATTATGCAAACCACTTTCAGTTCTTTTTAAGTTCCACAGAACGATTACTCTCAGCCTGTAACACAGCAACACACAGAGAAGTCACGATGTGGAGACGTGTGGCTCACGCTGGCACAGGGAGGGCCAGTTTGCCCACGTGTCCCTGTGCGGCCCTTCCCTCACATCGGGCTGACTCTAAGAAAGACTGAGCATCATTCTGCTGTCAGAGCACCTCTAACTGACATGTTTTGGCAAGAAGTTCTGAAGCACAGATGTAGTGAAACATTTCTCACGTGAGCCTTTGGGTTTCCCTGTTTATCTCTCTATCTGAGTGCTGATGGGCACTAATTTTAAAGGATCAAAACAGCATTACCAAACTCAGTATCACACCAAATATTTACAATTCTGGAAAAGGCTTGTAATACAAGAGCCATGGTTTTAGATAAAATATTTACATTTCCCCCCTTTCCTTACAAGCAATGAATACCTAACCCTTTTGCTTTTGTTGCAACTGGTAACATTCCATCTCTGAACTGAATAAAACAGCAAAGTGTAACAGAGCATCTAGAGCATATAAAAATGAATTCACTCCACATTGCTAGTCAGCCAGTGCCACCTAGTGACATTACCAACTGAGGTCTTACATCTGAAAGGAAGCGTCTGCACAGAATATTAAGCATCTGAATTCCATTATGATTAAAATAAGTTTAAAATACTACTTCTGAATTTATTACATTTCAAATAAAATGAAGCATAATCAATGAATTTTTTGAAAGAACAATGACACTAGAAGTTATACATATTTTTTTGTGTATATGTATATATGTACACACATACATAGTACCTCTCAACACAATTTCAAATATTTTAAGAGTAAGAGATTTTACTGAAAGAAACTGCTCAAAAGGAATCTGCTGGTCACACAGTAGTCTCTTAAAAATGTTTTAGCTCTATTATTTTGTATCCAAATGACATTATTCCTGAAGTCCTTACCTATATGCGGATTAAGAGCTGTCACCAACATGAGAGATTCACTCATTAGCTTGTTGATCCTTTCTGTGTTGGCCTGGATTCCCACAACACAGTTTTCTGTAAAGGAAACTGATGCATCTCCCAGCAGCCTGGCTGAGTGTAACACATTTTTAATCTGAGAGAGAGAGAGAGAGAGAGAGAGGGAGAGATATATGATGCCTACCGTTTTCTGTCCAGTATCATATATTGAATAAACCTAGAGGACTCCTACAACCGGTAAAGCATGGTACCCATGAAAACAAATATGAAGGCAAATCTGAACATGTGAACACAGAAATCTAAGAGGTGAAAAGCCATAAACACAAGTAAGTAAAATACAAGGGTGCCTGTGGTGTTATAGAAAAGGTGTGAAATGCTGGCACAGAGAAAAGAGAAATTAATTCCAGTTGCGGGAACTGGAGCCCAGTTGACGGGGAGGCCTCCAACAGCCAGCGGCGGAGAGGCTCCCACGCAGAAGGAAGAAAGGCAAAGAGGCAAAGGTCAGGAGGTTCAGCACATGCTCGAGGCAGTCTGTGAGGTCAGGGCCTCCCAGTTCTAACGGCCTCACCGGAATTGCTCCTCCCCTTTTCTGTAACATTTCTAATGTATGTAAAGATATGTCAATATTCTAATCTCTTTCAGTCTAAAACCCCAGGTTCTAGAAACTATATTCTCAAGGATGTACCCTAGCAAAAGGCAAGGAACTTCAAGGTTTAACTTTACATTAATAGCTTTAATATATAGAAAATGACGACTGCCTTGATGTAGTTATTATTAGAAAAATTAGATTTTGTTTTTTAAAGTAAAAAGATTAGCAAGACATTTGTTATACACCCATATTTGCCAGGCAGTTGGAGTTACTTGGAATCTGACCCAGAAGCAAAAGCTTATAGGTCTGAGTTCTGCTTTGGCTCATCTGCTCTTCCACCAGAATGCAGTCCAGGAGGGCAAAAAAAATGTCATTTACTGTCCTATCACTAGTACAGTGCCTGACACAGACTACTTATATAAATACTTGACGAATACACTGAATGAATAGACTTAATATTTGTCATCTGCATGTTTTTATCAAATTAGGATCAGGCTTTACACCAGATGCAAACTGGAAATAAGCCTCTAATCATCTTAGCTACAACATTCTACTCCATAAAGAACTCCAGATGAGGACAGCTCTGTTCGCTGAGGCTGAGGAAACTGGGTGAAATGATACCGTCTTGTGCCACCTTCACAGATGAAGGAAAAGAACAATTTTAGTGGACACAGTAATGTTTTCAAGGTATATAAACAAGGTTAAAACTGGTGAGAGAAAGCCTGGGAGAAAGGGCAGTGAGCTGAGGACAGTGCTGAGGAAACCAAGGATGAAGAGCTTCAGGGAGGGAGGGGTCGAGGTCAGACGTTAGGAGGAGTGGCTGTCCGTGAACCGAGGCCACAGGTGATGTGACCGTGGCTCGCCTGTGGATTGAGGTCACAGGTCACCCTGAGCGCAGCTCACAAACACGTGGAGGGTGTGGCAACTGCCACGTGGATGAAAGTGAAGATGGGTTACTCTTCTACGATGTTCTGACCTTTCTTTATTTAGCAAGAAGAAAGATGTATTGTGAGAAGGACACAGGGCTGATGAAGGATTTTTTTTGAACTGAGGAGACTTGAACTTATTTCTAGTCACTGGAATCCCCAGTGGTGAGGGACAAGGAAGAAACATGTACCCTACTTCCAGAATTTTCCTTCCCATTAAAAAATTCAGAACCATCAATCACATTACTTGAGCTTAAAGTCACCTAATTAAGTATCTAAATTTAATTCTCTTATATTAACATTTGCCTGACTTCCAACTGCTACTTTTATCATCCAAGTACCTAATGTGGACTCTCTAGAAATCTTTATGAAAGGCAAAAACCAAGACAACTTTCAATGAAAAACATTAAAAATCAATCTTAAAGCTTACCATCATTGGCTTGAAAACATTCAGTTCAAAATGTCCATTGCTGCCTCCAACAGTGACCGCGACGTGATTCCCCATGACCTGAGCGGCAACCATGGTCATCGCTTCACACTGGGTAGGGTTCACCTTCCCTTCAAGAAAGCCACCAGGCACATTCCACATTAAACCTTCATTTGGCTTCAGGCACCAGTTATGATCAGGTATTTTAAAAGATAAGCAAGAATGAAACCTAACTTCATTAAATAAAGCCAAATGTAACAAAGCAAGGCCCCAACCATGAGTGCTGGCTTAATGAAACCAACCAACAGACCAGAGGGGGCTACTTAGCTCTACCCCTCTAAGGGCTGATAGGAGGACCCTCAGCTACACCTCAAGTATAATTCTCTCCACCTCCACCTCAAGTATAATTCTCTCCACCTCCACAGCTTCCATTTGTTGGAAGGACTTATGGAGCCAGACACTGACTACACATCAGTGAACCAAGAAAGATGCAGCCCTTGTCCCCACAGACCTGAAGCTAGGAGAGGGAAGTGGTGACTGCAGTCTGCATAGTAAAGATAGGAATGCGGGCCGCCATAGGGACCACCTCACGAGGCTTCCGGGGAAGCTGCCAAGAAGCTGGAGTTCTCGCCACCGCAAGAATTTCCAGACCCACAACCCTGGTCACTGTCCTCTGACAAGCTCCTGTTTGATCCAAACATCCCAGATCCCTCTGACCCCTGGGCAGATGACTTATCTGTGACTCTACACCTCTTTTTTAGGCAAATCACCCTGAATTTGCAATCAATTAAACTCACATGACGTTTCCACCTGAGGCACTCTAAACTTTCTCATTCCATACACATGCACAGATTTATAAGAATCTACAGTCACTGTTTTTTTCACTGTTGAAAGTCACCTTGTCAGTTTTAGACCAACCTGCAGAGGCCTTGATGAATCTTGATTCTGTCACGTGGCATATTGCTCTCAACTGTTACTAATATGATCTGCACGTACCCACCAGAAGATAGTGAAAGACAGAACTATCACACATTTTCAAATACGGAATCAAAAGATATGCCACGACCTAAAGTTCCTTTTTCCTGTGTTATTGGGTGATGTTCCCAGAAGTCTTGATCAAAGGTGGCCCACAAAGACATTCTGAAGGAAGTCCGCCACACGAGTCCCCACCCATCTTTGGGACTCTGTGAAACAGGAGCCGTGCTCTGCAGGTGAGAATGCCTGGGTGCTGGTCGAGTCCCAGCTCCCGCACGCACCAGCACTGTGATTACCTGGCATGATACTGCTTCCTGGCTCGTTTTCAGGCAGGATCAGTTCTCCTAGACCTGAGCGAGGCCCGGAACCCAGGAAACGGATGTCGTTTGCTATCTTCATCAGACTGCAGGCAGCAGTGTTCATGGCTCCACTGAGTTCAACCAAAGCATCATGAGCAGCCAGTGCCTCAAATTTATTTGGAGCTGTGACAAAAGGCAAGCCTGAAGAAAAAGCAGTAACTTATATATGAGTTAAAAGTAAAATTAAACATTTTTCTAATATCAGCCACGCTAAACAGAAAGTTGCAGCATACAAAAAGCAAAAAAAGAACATGATAAAAATTTTACTTCAGAAAAAATGCTTCATTCAAGCTTCGTCTACATGCTTTTAAGAAGTCATGAAGGAGAAGGAAGAGCCTGGTGCTACTAACACATTTAAAGAATGATAAACAAATACAATAAATATATTCAAAAGGAAAAACACTTCTCTTAAGTAAAAATGAAAAGTAGAGGAAGAAACAGATGAAGGGGGTAAAGAAGTGTAACCTTCCAATTACAAAATAAATACATCATGGGGATGAAAGTACAGCATAGGGAACATTGTCAATAATACTGTAATATCTTTTTATGGCAACAGATGACAACTACATTTTTCGTGGTGAACATTTCATCATGTATATAATTGTTGAATCCTTATGTTGTACACCTGAAACCAACATAATATTAAATGTCAACTATACTTCCATAACAAAGGGAAGATTAAAATTCGGCAAAATTCACTTTATTCCAATTCGTTTTCCAGTACTATTTCCCCCATCTTGTTCTCTTCTTTCTTCCAGCTGGGGGCTCCACGATGCCCCGAGAGAACAGGAAGCCAAAATCTGTTATATGCTCTCAGTCAACTCTCCCTATTCAAAATTTTAAAGATATACATATTCTAATCTCTGTAATATAATTCTTCTCAATTAAAATTCGATTTAAAAACAAATTTCTTCTGGAAAGCCATGAGCATTATATTTCTACCCTAGCCCTCTGGTAACACATGCATCTTAGAGTTTTCTGGAGATGACAGCTTGGTTCTAACCATAGTTACCATTATCATGAGCATAGCACTCTCTCTTCTAAAGGAAAGATGGGATTCAAAAGGGTGAGCCATTCAAAGCAGCATCACAGCAGGGCACAGGAGAAACAGCCATCAATATCTACACCACCATCATTCACATGAATTTTTCTACCATCAGCTGGTTATGCCTACTTTGAAAATAGGTATTTTAAAGAGCTTAAAAAGAAAATAATTGAATACTACCAGATGGTAACCAAAGTTAGCACTGATAATTATTTGCATGATGTAGGACCTCATATATGGAAAACTTTAAAAAGCAAAAGGATAACATCACAACTTCTAAAGTAAGTATAAAACACACCTGACGGGAAAATACTTCTAATTTTAAATTTAAAAATTTCAAAGCAGAAAACACCTAGAAAATATGTAGAGAGCATAACAAAAATGAGTAACAACTCATATCACGGCTGACCTGTGAGGGCAGCCACTTTTGCAGCAACCTTTTCCGCAAAGCCGACTCTAGTGTTGAGGCCAGTACCCACTGCGGTGCCCCCGGCGGCAAGCTCATAGATTCTCGGCAGGGCGGCTTTTACACGCGTCATTGCATATTTCACTTGTTGCACGTAGCCACTGAATTCCTTAAAAGAGAAGGAAAATGAAGGTGAGAACATACAACTTCCTAATGGTTTACAAGTTCCTGTCCTTAAACACATATTGCTTCAAATACATTTCAGGTACTAAATTATAAGTTACTCAAGCACTATTTATACTATTTTAACTCAAATGATGATCAAAGGACAGGGAACAATGAGGATTTATAAACCTGTACCATAATACCACTCATAATAACATGCAACCTATTTATAAACTAGACTTTTAACAGAAAACCAAAAAAAAAAAAAACAAAAACAAAACTTCACTACATTAAATTATTGGTTTATTTGCAAGTGGTTTCTTTTTTGTTGGTGTATCCCAGACGACCCTAAAAAACAAGTGAAGTGAAGCCTCTCCCAAGAAAAACACAAATATAGAAATAGTCTCCCTGCAATTTCACTTTAAAAACCTGATTGGGACATGAGAACATTTCCAGGTACTCATGAAACTAAGTGACTCACTGACCAGCCCAAGACGGTAACAGGACAGAGTAAGACAACAGCTTCAAGCTGCATTTTCTTCTCTTATTAATGTCACATTTGTTCCAACAGTATGACACACTCTGAATAAGGTAACCACAAAGTTTGTTTTGAACATAGTGAGGCCTTATTAAGAATTATGCAGGGACAAAGACACAAACTGGGACTCAATGGGGCAAGCTGCCGTGTAGGGTGACACTAAATCTTTTCTTCCTCCCTAAAAACACTGGAATTCTATGAAGACTTTTGCTTAGTATTTGGATTTCATACTATTCTAAATAAAACATTTTAGAAGCTACAACTCCTTCCAAGTAGCCCTGATCCACCTGCTCTTTCACTCATACACATAACAGCTGAGTTCACTTAAGAAGTATATTTTTACTGGGGGGGGTGGGGGGGAACTGCACACATTCAATAGATAATTCCAATAAAGGAAGTATAAATGCTTCCAATAAGACAAAGTCCAACAGAAAAATACAAGTTTCTGTCATAATAGGTGGACTGATTACAAAGGAGGCTGAGTCATGGCTCAAGTGGACTTGAGAACAGTGGTTTTCCAACATGTAACACACACAAAAAAGGAAAAATTAGAAACCAGAGGGACACCCAAAAGTTTCAGTGATGTACACTGTTCCTCCTGAGAAACTCTGCACGGTAGTGAGAAGCAGTGACGCAGAGAGCAAGACACAGCCTGAAGAGGCACCTTATTCAGTAGGTCCATCGGTCACATCATTTGTATTTCAATTAATCATTTGGCATTTTCCTCATTATTTCTGTAAGGAAGTTAAGCTAGGCAATCACACCTTTTCCAACGTTTGCTACCATCTGAACAAAACTACAAATGAGGATCTTCCCAAGCCTGCAGCGGCCAAATCACCTTCACCTCAACTTCTACAAAACTGGCCCCTGACAACCATCACTTGATACTTGCACAGAACCACCTCTGATGTATGATTTGTTTACGTCCTGCCTCCCAAACTGGAGTGAGCTTACAACAAAACTGCTCCCTGTATTTCCCCCAACTCCCTTCACAATGCCCAGTGTTAGACAGTCCTTAAAGTCAGACACAGAAACACAAACACACTTTCTGGTAGTCTGGAGAAGGGAGTCATACCTCCTTCACATATGGTCAACACAATCTTACAGAGTAAGGTATGCTTGTTTTAATCACTTTGAAATTAGTTTTTAAATAACCTATAACGTACAGTAAGAGGCAAAGGAAGAAACTATGATAATGATGTTGGTGAGGGTGAGGATGATGACAGCTGAACAGGAAGTGCTGACAGGGCATCAGCTCAGTTCTAAGCACTTTACTTGAACCAGCACCTCCCCAACCACACAGTGAAGGAGCTATTCTCCTCATCTTGTAGCTCAGAAAACTAAGGCACAGAAAGGCTATATCAGTTTTCCAAGGTCCCACAGCTTGTACGTGGCAAAGCTAAGACTTGAACCCATGCCGGCCCTGAAGTCTGGCCCACAGCTAGCCTGCTCTGCTCCTGCTAAAGAAAACTTACTGGCTGGTTAGTGAAGAACAATCTGTCACTGAACTGAACTGCTGCAAACTCAGCCTTTTTAACCAGTGTGATTTAGAGGTAAGAATGTTGGCCATTTGTACCAATCCCTAAACTGAATTGAATTAAATCTAGTCATGCTCCTATACCTGCCCAAGAGTGAGTGGAACAGCATCCTGCGTGTGAGTCCGCCCAATTTTGATGATCTGGGAAAATTCTTGAGATTTAGCATCGAGAGCATCATGCAGCCTCTGCAGTCCGGGCAGCAGCACTCTGTGGACTTCGACAGCTGCAGCAATGTGCATCGCAGTGGGAAAAGTGTCGTTTGAGCTCTGTGGCAGAATGCACAGAAATAGAAAATGTTATATCAGGGGCAACAAAAAACAGACTTGAATGTTTCCAACTAAAAATCTCATTAAGTGACTATTCAAAACAGCCTATTTAGTTACCTTTACGTTTAAGGTAAGTCAAAGGTTGCTTAGGGTCAAGTAAGAAGGAACTTGATTTCCTATATGGAACATACTGAATTATATATACCACCTACATGGAATGTACTATACGTTATTATTGTATCTGCCTGCTAATCACATAGAGAAGTATAGTTAACAAGTCCATGTAAGATGTAATAATAAAATAGTTATACAGTGCATACAGGTTCATAAACATTTCTTCATTTATCAAACTTGAGAATTCTATGAGGCAGGTCACCACTGTAAAAACAGGAAAGCTATGCTCTCAAAGAAATTATGTGACTTGCCAAATACTTGGGAACTGGTAGAACTGGGACCTGGACAGGTAGTCTAAACTCCCTGCTCTTTCTTCAACTGCAACCTCATATTTTAAATTATGATGCTATTTTAAAAGGTGTATTAGTTAATTTATTTTTTTACTTTTTATTATGGAAAATTCTACACAAGTAGGATGAATGGTACAATGAACACACACCTACATTTAGGTGCCTATCACCTAAATCCAGTGATAGTCAGCACACAGCCTGTCTTGTTTCGACAGCAACTGCACTCACTCCTCCACCCGGCTACACACACTGGCTTATTCTGAAGCAATTTCAGACTTCAGTGCATAAAAAAGATAAATTTATATTTAACAGCAAGCACTGGGTTTGCAAAGTCCTTCATACAATAAATTAATGTGAAAAAATTTCCCCTTTAATAAAAATATATTAAATTACATCTAGCACCCAGATCTTGGTTTCTAAATATTTTCCAGTAAGATCCTCCAAGAGTTCCTTGGAGTAACGGGTGCTCATGGGGACTGGGACAGGGAACATAAAAATGATGAGCCTGGAACATCTTGGATGTGCAAGAAATAAAAATGCACTTAAAAAAGGTATGGTGGCATGTCTAAAGGATACAGTGGCCAACAGGGAGGGTTCCCAAAGCTGAGGCAATCTGAGCAATAATGACAGAAGTATTGAATTATAACACTAAGAATGAAATAAATATTCATGAGTCCATATTGACATACATAAATAATTGCATAAATAAATAAATGTGGGGGAGAAAGAGGACAAATATTCTTTATAATCAATGAAGGCAACAGAAAGTCACTGTTAGAATATCAAAGTAAGCAAAATAAAAACCTTATTTACATAGGTAAAAGGCTGCATCCTAAAATGAAGATGTGTCAACCATTAATTTAAAGGCATTTACATTAGATTTTCATTATTAAGTAATGAAATAAGTGATCTAAGCCTCTTAAGGAGAAAGAGCATATTTACATGGCCTCAAAGTTTTCTATTAATTCTGTGGAGATTTTAATATATGCCCCCGAATTTCTTGATATGCCTTCCTTTAGGAAATGGAACTTAAGTGTCGCCCCTGCCATACAGGCAGGACTTAGTGACTCAGTTTTAACAGTGGAAGGTAGAGAAGCCTGGCAGGCACCACCATGACCAGGTGACTACGGTGAGCATCACCAGCACAGAGTCACGTGGCCATTCTGCACCCAAGATGAAGCTATAAGAGTCTTCACTTCTGTTCAGTCTTCACAAAACCCCCCACTCTCAGTCTGATGGTGAGAAAACATCAAACAAACCCAAGCTGAAGGACAGGCTACAAAACCTGATCACCATTTCAAAAGTGCCAAGGTGAAATGACAGACTGTCCCACGTGGCAGGAGACTAGGAACGGGATGCCTCTGCACCACAAACCTGGACAGGGCTCTGGGAAGGGGGAAGGATACGGGCAGGAAACCAGGGAAATTCTGATAAAGTCCATTAGGAGTACTATACCAATGTTGGTGTTAGTGTGACAGATGTACCAGGTGTGTAAATTGTTTACCATTAAGGGAAGCTGGGTGAAGGGGATGCAGGCACTATTAACTATCTAATTCTTTTATCAATCTGAAATTATTTCAAAATAAATAGTTTTTTTAAAAAAATAAACCAAATAAAAATCTATGTACTAAATTCAGGTGTCCTAAAAGTGATTTTTATGAAGTTTAAGACAGAGAACCAACATTCTTAAAAGAAATTAGAACATATAAGAAGTCCTTTCCATTAAATAATAAAAGCAGAATGAACCCTCTTTGTCAAAAAGCCAATGCCTGTTTTGTAAGAAAAACCTCGGCAATTCTTTTCAATTTACAACAGAGAAGAGATCATACACTGACCTGGCTTTTATTGACATGATCATTGGGATGCACAGGATTCTTACTGCCAAGTTCACCTCCTAGTATTTCAATTGCTCTGTTGCTAATGACTTCATTGACATTCATATTTGTCTGGGTTCCTGATCCAGTCTGCCATACCACGAGAGGAAAATGATTGTTTAGTTTACCTTCAGCTACCTGCAGAAAAAAAGGTTATAAAAAATGAATTTTTAAAAATAAGAAACATTCAATATTCATTTAGCTATTTAAATTGAGTATGAAAAAGAAATCACCATATGTGGTGCCATTTTAAAGATGTTCAGTTTATTCATAAGCTAAATGGCTTATTGATGGTGCCATAGTTTATAGTTGTCCAGGAATCCAAGATTTGTTCCAACCATTACTTTAAAAAGTGAATCCATTCTAAAAGATATAACAATTTTACTGATTCCAAATGAAAACTGAATCAAAGCCATCTTTCTTCTATTTCTCCAACTGCCTTTTCTAATAATATCCAGATAGACCACCTGTTAAGGCTGGCAAATGTGTTGAGTCTTTGGATACATTTCCCAATAGCACTCAGCAGGAATATACAATAGATATTACAGCTGGAGTCAGCATGATGATAAACTAGGGACTGGAAAGTGTGAGTTCTCTAATAACTACTTCCTCACACAGCTGTCCAATGAGCAGCAATTGCCAAGCAGAGACAAACACAGTCCAGATCTGTCGCATTTTTGTCATATTTTTATACTTTCAGCTAATGTGTTAGCTTTTTAATTGTAAGCTTTCTGAGAGTGGGTGCTTAACTTCATTTATTGGAATGACTTTAGTAAAGAAAATCAGCATGCAATTTAGAAAACCATTATGTTAAACAACTGGTTCATTTTAAAGTAAAACTTTTCTCCCAGTTATATAAAAACAATGATTAGTGTAGATTTTGAAAACTTAGAAAAGCATAATAGTTATATAGTATAGTTCTACCCTCAGAAATAATGACTATTAGCATTTTGACATTTTCTCATCTCTCCTCCAATTTATTCTTATATGCATATATAAAACAAAACACAGGTTTTGTGTTCATTCATTTTAAACAAAATTATGATAAAAAAATACAGACATTTTGCTACTCTTCCCACCCTACCCCCCAACTTCTTATATGGTAGGCTTTGTTCTTCTATTAAGAAACACTCTTTAAGAAACTCATTTTTGATGGCTTCACAATATAACTTACACAAGCAGCTGTTGCAGTTGGAATCTGTCTGTTATTATTATATAGTACTGCAATGAACAACAATGGATGTACAGTTTCTTAACTCTTACCTCTGGGTGCTTCCTTAAGATAATGTTATTAGTGGATTAGTGAAATTACATTCTCCATACACATTATCAAATAACCAACTAGTTTTAAAAGGAACCACTTGAATAAGAAATCAAATATGTAAGTTTATCTCTTTAAACTATATTAACTTAAAAGAGGTCAAGAGAATTAAGAATAAAAGGTGTAAGAACACCAGAATTTTTGCCACAATCTTTTAAGCACCATATTAATATCCTCATCAAACCATAAGGCTGGACCTCTTTCCTCCTGCCAGAGCTTATAATCTCCTAGTGGATAAGGGGGTCTGATGCCATTAAGTAAACACATTTAGCACCTCCTACCTCATCTGCCGCCTTCATTATTGCATTAGCAATCTTTGAATCAAGACCATAATCCTGGTTGACTTCAGCAGCTGCTCTTTTCAAGATGCCAAAAGCTTTAATAACTGGGATCTGAAATTAATCAAAAGCATTATCTCAAATTTGCAAGTTTAGTTAAGCATGAAAATTTAAGATAATTATTTCATGCAGGTGCAAAAAAACGGTACACAGAACAATAACCTAAGTAATACAATGATCCTAAAATGTTTACAATATAGAGAAAGATAGATATTGAATGAACCAAGATTCATCACGTATCTCTTTCAGGAAACAAACAAAAGCAAATACATGGATTCTTTGTATATGTGTGTCTGCTTCACACACACATCATACATGCACAGTTACACATAGTAGCACCCACCCTTTATTTAAATTACAAGTTACGGTTCATATATATAAAAACAATGGTATTCAATCATTTCACCAGCAAGCACCATTATTTTCCCTCTTTTGATCCCATGCTACACTATTTTTCTTTTTCTTTCAAACAAATAAAAAGAACCTACTTAACTGCCAAAAAGTACAAAATGACAAGTTACTGATAAGTATCATTTCATGCCAAAGCCAAAAAACATGACATTCTAGTTAGTGAAAACCTGAAACTTAAAAAGTCACTGGGATTTTTTTCACAAGTTTTTTTTTAATCCAGGGTTCTACAGAGTTAAAGTTCATAGCTTCTGTTCTACATAATCACATTTCAAACCTTTTTGGTTTGCAGGTATTTTCTACTCCAAATTTTAAAGGATAAATTGAATAACTTTTGATGAGGTTTCAATAAAATGGTACCTGGTTTTTGTAAGATAACTGAAGTATGTATTCTTGCCAAAACTCATAATCCAGACTGTGGTAGAGATCCCACACCAGGTTTTAAAGGGGAGAGTGCAGAAAAGACAATACATAATGAATTTACAGAGAGAGGCTGCAGTCCTCAAAGGGACTCAAAATGTGACAATGAAGAAAGGTAAGGAACAACACACAGTCACCCTGGGCCACACAGAGATACTGATGGCAAACAGCAAAGGAAATGAAAATAGGACACCTGTATTTTCAATTTTAAGAAACTAAAATTAAAACATCTTATGTGCTTTACTTGAATGCAATGGAGACAAATGGCACACAGGATTAGAAAAGTAAAAGCTTTAAACATGAAAACAAATGGGATTCTGATTGGTGCGGAAACACTGCAGTGGGGGCAAGCCTCTGCCGGGGCCTCCGGTACAAAGGCTGAGGTGTAATCACGCTACTCCGTCCAGGGCACACCGCAGTCTGCTTAGTCTGCTTTACATTGTAAAAACTTGAGGAAATTAATCCAGATGAAACCAGATGTGACAAAACTGGTAACCCACGTGTTCATCTTTACAAATGCACAATTCACACAGCTACGAGAATACTTTAAGATCAGCCACTATTCTCTGTCTCCCCACCATGTAGTCTGGCCCTGTATTTATCTTCCCACCAGGTGTGGCTGTAGATGGCCATCACAAAAAGATTTTCTTCAAGAACATCAGCTGCTTGTTGTAAAACTACAATAAGCCTGTCAAAATTTGGTCTTGAAAGCTTGGAATGAGCTAATTAGGGAAGTTAAAATTATTTAAAGATAAAAAGGATATTTAGAAAATAACTGTTAAACAGTATCTCACCAGATGAAGCCTGGCTACTTCCAGGCCACTTCTAGGCTATCCTGCATTCCTGCACAGACTATCTGTCATACTCCAGTGGGGTTCCAGTAGGATATGTAATGTATTCATCAACTCGTTTCACACTTTAACATCACTGACATCTAGATGCATCTTACAATCAATGCAGGTCACAACTTTACTGGGCAGCCTCTTTCTTAGTGGCACATATTGGTGCATCTTCTAACTGATGCTATCTTAGATTTAATGAAATATGAGAGAAAGTTTTCTAATCATTAAGTCATTCATGTGGTGTTGAACGAACACTTATGTATTATCTATTTATATGCCAGACATGGTGAAGAGTGTTTTTATGTATGTGTGTATGCTTAATGGGAACTAAACCAAAATAGATAGAAAGTATAATATTATAGAAAAATCTGTTTTCCTTTAAACCAGTGTTTAAAAAATCAGTTTTAAATCAGTAAAAAAAAAAAACAAAAACAAAACTTAAGTATTGAAACTAAATGTTTACAAACTGTAAAATCCTGGTAAAAATCTGAAAAAAAATCCCTCTGAGAATAAAGATAAACCACTTAGTTCTAACAAATAAAAATCAAATATTCAGTCAGAGCTCAAAATAATACTATACTGAACTTCAAAAACTTGACATTTTAATGGAAGAGAAACTTATTCAGAGTTCTTCAATAACTTTATATTTTAACTCTGTGAAAACTAGTTATAAAGTGACTCATTTGAATAAAGTCTCATATTTCATTAAATCTAAGATGGCATCAGGCTTTATTTGCCCAAAACAAGCCAAGATTTCCACAAAAGCTACTCACCGGCATGCGCTCTGTCACACCTCCAATCTTAAAGTTCATTGTAGATCTTACAGTCTGGGCACCATAATACTTATCATTTGGAACCTGGAGTTCACCAAAGGTATCATATTCTATCCGAAAGGAATTTTGGCTTGCCTAAAGACAAAGAAAAGACACGGTTATAGTTTGAAAACAAACCAAGTATCAAAAACAGTATGATCAGCTCTAAGGGGAAAGAAACCTTAACAAGTAGCAGAAAGACAAAAACTTCCATTTGATTCTCATTTAATTCTCCAGCTCTTTCTCTGGGGAGTTTTTGTCACACAATTTTTTAAATGTAGACTAAAGTCAGACTGTAGAGTTTATTCACTACACAGATGATAAATACAAAGAAAGCCTTGAAGTAAAAATAGTAAACTTTTCCAATTTGGGAGGATGCATATTAAGGGCCAAGTTTGGGTCAATTCAGTGTACTTAGGTTACTGTTATTTTACCGGGAACTTTGAAAAACAGTTGAAGAATGATACTTTAGAATGTACAAATACCATACATAAATGAAACTTAGCTGTGCTCTACAATACTGTGCCTGAGAGCTACAACAGGCAACATAGATAGCACGGGCTTTGCAGCTGGACAGCGCTCCCCTTCCCCAGCAGCTGTGCCAGCTCCAGCAAGTCAGCTTTTCTCATCTATAAAGTAACGGAAATGTACAGACCAGGGTGGTGGGTGAGGTCAGTTCCCAACCTTTTCAGCCTGACAGAACCCTTTGAAACTCTGAGGAAAGCTATAAATCCTTTCTCTAGAAAAATGAACATTACATATACATGCAAAATCTTACATATGATTTTTGGGAGTTTATTTCACAAAGCCACCAAAATAAGAACCTGTGACCCAAAGTTGCCTTTATGGAGACCCTAGGACTCTACCAAGTACATCAATTTATACTAATAAAAAAAATCAGTTACTGCAACAAGTATTTTATAATACTTATAAAATTTATAAACATTAGAAATGTGGAATTTACTATGATACTTTATATTAGGAGACTTGAGAAAGATACTCAAAGCTTTAATGTTCATCTTGCACTAATTATAAAATAAACATGGTCAGATGATTCAAAAGACACTCTGTAAGGCACCTGGAATTACTTGCCTAGCCAAGTAATTCTGATTTAGTAAACAGTCCTCCAACAAGAAAAAATTTACCTTGTAGTCAGACCCTGGGACTAGGTAGATTTACAAAAACCCTTTATATGTTATAAAACATTTTGTATTGCATTTAAAAAAAACACTGTTTAACACTATATATATCTAAAGAGCCAAAAGTTCTCTAACTCCAGGAAATAGGCTGTGCACATTTGCAGAACAAAACTGAAGTCATGCCATAAGACACTCTATAAGGCACCTGGAATTAAGAGAAAATCATCTGTCAGAGGAGGCTGGGCCTATGCAGGGCTCGCATCTGTTAGACAGGCGCACGTATGTATATGGGGAGAGGAACAATGAACCAGGTGACATGGCCATATCTCCTCAAACGTTCTTTACACTGACCCACAGAAGAAAAACTTCTTATATCATGACTTGGTACATACATAAAAACATGCACACACACACAAGCCTGAAACAGAAATTTCATGAAACGATATATGTATGTCATGCACTCCTATTTTCTATTCTATGCTATTCTGTCAAAGAAAAAACAAAAATGCTTGTAACTACCCACTACATTGATTTCACCATCCACTAAGAGGCCACCTGAAGTTTGAAAAACACTTGTGTTGTTTTCAAAATCTTCTGACATTATCATGTATATTACCTCTTCCCAATGGTTTGGGGAAAAAGAGGAGGGGTGCTCATCTAAATCATTAGAAAATTATCAGTGCCTTCAGTGGAAAACTGATGAATGACATCTCTTAAATATAAATATGTTTTTAGTACATATAATATAATCCTTTGCTACAAAGAAACCAGTCTTTTTGAAAACCATGTTTTCATATCCTGTAATTCAGTGAGCAGAGTTTATGGGAGAGGGTGGTTTGCCACTTCAGGGATTAACACCATGGTTTAAAGAGTTTAACCATGTAGGCAGTGGTTCCTGGGAGATGGGTGCTCATGCACAATCACTTCCTCTCCTGCATGGGTCATGTGTCCAGCATTCACTGCAAGATGACTGCTGGTTGGCCCTAGAAATATCAGGTACTTGTAAGCAGCCACTAATCTAGGAACCTCAGGATTGATGGGGTTGTCTCGAAATCTGCATGTCAGTCTAAACTAGAAATGTCAGCCAAACATACAGGCCTTGGGGCCTGTACGATGTCCCCGTGACATTCATGTGAAAGGTAACAATTAGCTAAATGATGGCATCTCCTAAAAAAAAGTTAACATGCCTTTCAGATCTCAGTCTAAGGTGGTTTAAAAGAATATTTCAGAGTTCAAGAAAATCAAATAATTTCTCATGCAAAAAGACTATCTCAAGAGATGAAAATCCAAAACTTGACTCGTGTTTGGGTTTTCAGTTTCTTTCTGAGAAAGTCTCTCGTCTTAAAACACAGGGTGACCACCAAGTCTTTGAAATATTGGCAAATATATAAATAATGGTTTATTGCTATTATATTGCAACACAGAGTAAGATATTATCTACGTTTCCAGACTTTATGTCCATCCTGAAGATCATTAAGGGAATAAAAGTGATTTTTAAAAATGTTAGATCTTCCTTATCATGCTACCATGGCGGTATCATAGCTGGTCTCTATTATATATTGTCATTCTTACAGTACTTTTTCTTCTCTGTAGTATTTGTCACACTGCAATTAATTGGTTTTTTTCTTATTTAACTGCTTTGCTTAATCTCCCCTAGCAGTCCCTAAACCCTATGCCCATAGACTGTCCTACACAGAGCCTGAAACAAACAGCAGGCATTCAATATACGTATGCTATCTTCTTATTGTGTTCTTTCCATGTGTTCTTTTAGATAAGAGGTAACCTAGAGCAACAAGGTGAATTTCTCAACACTAGCAACAAGGATAGCTTTTAACAAAATCAACACAGACTTTGGAGCTGAGATTAGAGGGCAAAAGATGTATTTAAAATTACGGAAAAAAATATCTGCTGTTAGTTCATTTCAACACTAAAACAAGGCACTGCTATTTTTTGATATTTACAGCAGAGTCAGTCCTCCAGTCTCCTGTTCCTTTAACAAACCACTAAGTAAAAAATAAATAAAAATTCTAAAGACTCTAAAATTCACTAAGATTAGATAGAGTAGGGCCTTGCCAGAATATAAAGCACCTCTGATTCTGTAGTTTCAGATACAGTGATGTCCTCAAATTATCTTCAAGTTTCTAGCGCAGAAAATGTTCAGGGCTTGTTAACACCACAGTTGAAAGCTTTTATTCAACAAGCGCTCACTACTTGGCAAACTTGATCTTGGGAGTACCTGTAATTACTTCCATTTACATGCAGTAACTGAGGCACAAAGACAACCTGCCCCAAATGCCAACTTTAAGTAGCAGAGTGAGATTTGAAATCGCATCTCTTTAACTGCAAAGCTCACAATATAGCACAAAACTGCAACTCTTGCTAAACTACCATTATTCCCCAAATTTTCCCTAAGGGTATATACATTTGTGCACATGTATTCAATGCCTGTTAAAGCCCAAATTACCACTCTAAAGAGCAAAAGGGCTTAGTTTGCCTGTCAGAACTTGAACTTGGACTTTTAAGTTCCATAGGCGTCCTCTCTGAGTAAAAGGTACTGATACAGCTAGTTAGGTCCCATCCCTCCTCTAACACACTTCAGGGCCCTCTGCCCACGTTTACAAACTGCAAGGTCTTAACAAATTTATGTGGAAAACCATCTCTGCCTAGCAAACTAAACAGGCAAGTTCATGAGAAGTAAAAATTCTGATGTTCCTAAGAACCTTCGATCCCACCTTTAAGCCAGAGAGCAGCGCCCTGCACAGTGGTGACCCAAGAGGCCACAGCTCAGAGGCGACTAAAAGAGAACCGGCTACAGCTGGTCGGGCGCGGCCCCCCTACGGGATGGGGCACGGGCAGCGCTGTTTCGCCCCGCACTCTGCCCCTCCCCACACTGCGCCTCCGCCCCACGGCCCCGCCCCGCACTCTTCCTCCAGCGCCGCGCCGTTCCCGCACCTTGTATCTCTCCCCACACGCTGCTGGTTCGCGCAGCGCCCTGGGCGAGGGCCTTGGCGAGCAGGAGCGTGGTAGCGCCCAGTGAGGTGAGCACCGCCGAAGCGCACGAGGCCGGAGCGCGCAACAGGACCCCCAACCCACGGCGCCCCCCGCCCCGGCGAGGCGGCCTCCACGCCGCAGAAGGGCTCCCGGCCCGGAAAGCCCTCGCGCCAGCGCCCCCGCTGGTCAGCATGCCTGAAGGTGACCCCAGGAGCCAGGGACGGGCTGCCCGCGCTCACCATTCCAGCGGTGTTCGGAGGCAGGGAAGGGCGCACAGTCCCGCCACCAAAGCCGGGAGCCGGGGCGGGGGCTGAAGCCCGTGCGAAGCGGCACGGACGCGCGAAGAGCCAGAGTGCACGATGCATGGTGCGATCCGCGGGCAGGACTTCCCGTGGTGAGGCCACGCCCCTGCGCCCGCTGTCACGCCCAACGCCCCTCTTACCCAATCGGCAGCCTCTAACCAAGCGTGTGGGGCGGGAACAGCTGTGAAAAGCCAGTGAAGAGAGAGGGGACGGGCTCACTCCTCGGAGCGGGTCCTTGAAGCCCCGGGATTCGTAGGGGACGTGGGAGAAGGGAATCCTGGGAAGGAGGTGGTCTTTGGAGTGCGGAGGTTTGTGTGGCTGGCGGGACGAAGCGGCCACTAGTGACCAGGTGGTGTTCAGTGGGCGCGGTACCCCAGAGATATTTATTCAGTAATTTATCATGTAGTCACTCATTGAGAGTTCGTTCTGTTGGAATCTCTTCTTTTCCTCCAGATAACATATTCCGTGTAGATATTTGCCGAGGCAAAATATAGAGAATGAAGTAATTGTCTCTACTGCCAACTCTTAAGACAAGATAATTACTCCTTTCTTTTAACTTGTCATTTTGAGGCCCTTACAGTGTGTTTTCTCTCTTAAACAGACACTCTCAGAGCTCTCTTTTTAAATGTAGTGTGGAAGCTGTTCACAGTTATAGGTGATTTTGGAATTTTCTATATTTGCATTTAGGTTTTCCAAGTGTTTTGCATTGATAATATATACATTTCAAATTAAAAACATTGTTTTAATATGACAGGTGATGACAGAGAGGCAGGAGCTGATATAAAATTGCATCTAAACCACACTTAGATTCCCTCTCTCTTCTTTTATTTCATGTAAATAGATGACGGTTAATCATGAAAGAGAACCACTGGATGATGTCCAGGAGTCAAAGTCAGAACCTGCAAAGCCATGCTTGTAAGAGTTAAGTATCAGAGCTCTTGGTAACACCCTATATTATTTTGTGGGTTATGAATTTGACTTATAGATATTTAAAATATGAAAATTCAAGCGAGTGATCCTAACAGTTGAACTACAATCAAAACAGTCCAGAAAAACTACCTGAACTCTTTTTATATCAGTATATCCTCCCTCTATGAACTGGTGATACAGAAATTACTAAAATACTTGATGAAAAGTGAAACAAAGAATTATACAGAAGTTGAAGTTCAGAATCAAAAGGTAATTTAATGGTTTTAGGAAAGAAACAACCTGTCACATATATTTATGTTTTCCATTATTAAAGGCAAACAGCACAAAGTTTAGTGGGAATATTATATAGTATTGTAAATGTCATCAATTTCACAAAAACTACAGAAAGTTACTAACAATTACCATCATTTCCTAGAAAATGTTGACATTTTAATGTATTTGCTTCATAAACTTTGCAAAATAATGGACTGACTGTTTCTTCCCCATCTTTGTAGAAACTCATTATTTGAATATGTATCCTTTCAGTTCACCTGTGTATTTTTTGCTTCACATAGTGGAATGCAAACAGTGGTCTTTAAAATTTACTCTGAGGTTGTACTGTTCTATAATGACATGGTTTTGGTGATCTAGCCATGATCTTTTTAAATTAATAACATACTGTCATCTTATTTTACCACATTTTCTTTATCACATTTCTTAATAATCTCAACAGAATTCCATCAGATGAATATAAAACATTTTGTTTATAGAATTTCTTAAGAGTAGTTTTTGCTATCATATACACTGCTCCAATAAACAGTAAATTTATGATTTCTTCATAGATTGTTTCTCTTCATTGGGTAGCATCACTCTATTCCCATTGTTGCCTTTAATTTTAAACTTTTTAAACATACTGATATTTCTATGTCAGTTTCATATTGGCTATTGTTTACCTGATGTATATTTCTCATTTTATTTTAGATAATGTTATTTCTTTTTGAGTTTATCTCTTGTTTCCACCACGCAGTTTAACATTTTAAAATCCAGATTGATAGACTTTTTATCAATCTCTTTTAACAATCACCTACTGATACATGTTATGATCCAGAAATTTTTCTAAGCACTTTACATGTGCTAATTCTTTAAATGCTTAAAGCAACCCTATGAAGTAGTTTCTGTTATTATTCTTATTTATTGAAAAGAAAACTGATGACCAAGGGAAGCCAACTGGGCCACAATCTTAACTATTTTGCAGGCACATTATGGGATTCATTTTCTGCATCATTATCAGTATTTCTCAGGAAATGGTGCCTGGCACAACAGAGTGATTAAAAATAATTTTAAAAAAATAAATAAGTGGGTTGTGGCAAAATTTATATTACAAGTAGGGTCATAACAGTATTTCCCACACTATATGCCCTTGTGCAGTGTGACTTTGCCACAGGTGAGCCTAAATACCGTGCCCCTTTAATTTGGGCTGCCCTTTGGCTTGCTAATAACCAATCGAATCTGAAAAGTGACTGCCCAAGCTAGGTGAGAAAAGGCCACACTGCTTCTCTGGGGTTCTCTTAAGACCCTCACTCTTCAGTAAGCCAGCCACCAGGTGAAAAGTTCAGCTACCCAGAGATAGTCATGGAAAGGCTGCCTGTAGGCACTGTAGTCAGCCCCTCCTGTGCTCCCAGAGGATACCCAGCATCAGATCTCATGCCAGTGAGTGACCCCCCTTGGATTCAGGCCCAGATGAACTTACGTAAGTGGAAATCCACAGATAGCAACTAGACAATCCCATTGTTAGGCTTTTCTGTTCTCTTGGTCCTACTCTTGTCATAGTGCAGCGTTCATCTTCTGGTGCATCAAGGTGGCTGCAGCAATTTCACACTTGCATCTGTGTGGAATAGAGTTCCAAAAAGAGGCAGAGGGTGCTCCTGAATCTCTCCCCCAAAATGAGGAAGAATTTTCCCAGAAGCGTTAGCAAACCTCTCTTCGAGCCTCATTGATCCAAATGGAGTCATACAACCCTTCCATGCCAATCACTGGTGAAGGGAAATGGATGAAATATTGAAATGACATGTTATATTATTTATATTTCCAACATTAATTTAAATATTTTCTTTATGAAAAAATTACTTTAAAATTTTTGAAATTTATTTGTATGGAACATAACATAGTAATATAACTTTTTTTAGAATTGTCATTCATATAAAAAGTTGTCATTGACACCTAACTGGACAGTGTTGCTCAGTGAAACTCTAAGAGTAGAGACAACTTATAAAAACATACTTACAAAAAAATGTATATGGCAGTATGAGAAGTGAAGCAGAAAGTTCCTCCCAAAATCACATAAAACATGGAAATACAACAAATACAGCTAATCCTTGAAAGAGCAACCTGAAGACTGCAGAACAGACTGCCTACATCTAGGAAAAAGAGAAAACCTCACAGAAAAGGATAAAGTAGCAAAGTGGCAATCCAGTAGAATGCAAGCCTTCCCCCGACCCCAGCCCACAGGCAGGAGGAAGAGAAACTGAGCAGGGAGGGAGTAGAAATCCAGTACTGCTAAATACCCAGCCCTGGAGATTTGCTCTGAGAGCATGAACCCACATTACATGGTGCTCTGGAGATTAGTGGGGTTGAAAGCAAGGATGGGCAGAATACTGGGAGAGACTGAGATTCCAGCCACTTGTGGAGATCAAGTACACACAACCGGCTGCCCTGGGATGAAATAAATATGAGCACTGTGAAAGACTTCCCAACAGCAAGAGGGATGCTAAAGGGACAAGGACTACACTGAACTTGCTGCTCAGGAGAAAGGGCAGGTGGACAAAATCATCCTGGCACACTTGGCCAAGCAGGTTGGGAACTCTCAGGAGCTTCAGACACACAATCTTCCTGGCTGGCAATGCAGTCCTGAGGCCCCCCACTACGCAGCCTGCTGTTTCTTCCTCCCAGCAGGCAATGGTCATGCACACCTGCTCCCCTGCCATCACGCAAGGTCAGCCAGAGGGTGGCCCCACTTACAGCAGGCACAAGGGCATAGCACAGAGGCTTTTCCCTGTGCCCTTGGCCCAATGCACCTGACAGTGGAGGCAGGTGTTACAGCTGGGAGGGCAAGAAAGAGCTCTTTCCTCCTGGCAGACACTGGTTCCACTCACCTGAAACCCTCACCAATCCTGTCAGGCAGCTCCAGAGAGTAGAGCTTCTAGGCATTAGAGGGACCCACCTACACAAAGTTATTATTCCATAGGAATCATTAAAAAAATGAAATGCAAAAGAATTTGTCCAAACAAAACTACAGGGTAAGACACCAGAAAGAGAGCTTAGTGAAACTGAAATCACCAATGTTTTTAATAAAGATTTCAAAATAAAAATCACAAGCATGCTCACAGAGCTACAGGAAAATATTCAAGATCTCAGGAGGACTTCAAGAAAGAGAAACTTTGAAAAATACCGTATCTGAAATGAAACATACAATGGAGGGATTTAAAAGTAGGTGAGATGAGGTAGAGGAGATGGAAAATGAAATTGAAATTAGAGAACAGGAAACAAGCTAAGGCACAGAGAGAAAAAAGGATCTCTAGAAATAAAAGAATAAGACAGCTGTGTGACCAATCCAAATGGGATGATATTTGCATTATAGGATACAAGAAGAAAAAGAGAGAGAAAAAGGGACAGAAAGTCTCTCTGAGGAAGTATTTGCTGAAAACTTCCCCAATCTGGGGAAATAAATAGTCTCTCAAGTCATGGAAGTGCAGAGATCTCCCAACACAAGGGACCTTAGGAAGACAACATCAAGATATATAATAATTAAAATGGCAAAGATCAATGACAAGAAGAGACTATTAGAAGGAGCCAGAGAGAGAAAACTGATCATGTATAAAGAAAAGCCCATCAGGTTATCAGCAGACTTCCCAGCAGAAACCTTGTGGGACAGCCACAAGGAAGTGGGACAATATGCTTAATGCAATGAAACAGAAGGGCCTCCAACAAAAAACTATTCTACCCAGTAAGATTATCATTTAAATTTCAAGCAGACATTAAACAATTTCAAGTAAAGCAAAAGTTGAGGGAATTTACCACCCAAAAACTGTCTCTACAATGTATTGTAAAAGGACTGCTCTAGATGGAAGTGCTTCTAGGGCCAAATAGCTGTCACCAAAGAAAATAAAACCACAGTAAAGGAAGT